AATATGTGGCCGAAAGTCCGGATTTTAGACGTTTATTTTTTTCGTTCGAAATCGTAACATGAAGCGAAGTGAGAATCAATGTATGAAGAAAGATACATAGTTCTCTCAAGGATTTTTAACTTTGAGTGTTCTTTTCGTGAAACTTGGCTTTACTGTCACAGTCTTAATATATAGATTTAGGCCAGCCTAAAAGCATAGCTCCTGGGCTGGGTTGTTCAGAGCCAAATTAAGCTAACTCAGGAAAAGGTAGGAATTAATTTGAGTTTTGTAACTGTGTTGAGGTTTTCTGTATATTGTTTGGCTTTCTGTTCTGAGTTTTAATATCACTATATACACAAAACAAACCAGCAAAAAACATTTGTATAGAAGAAAAAGTTACAATTTGGTTAACTTTTAATCCTGGGTTAGCATTAACCGGCTTCCAAACAATCCTGCCCTGTTTTCAACAAGTTAACCTGAGATGTGCCTGCGATCCAATCAAAAACCAGCACTTGGTCAGCAGTCAACTTCAAAAAACACGCAACCTCGATGAGCTGTAATCTTGAGCCTGCAATATGGTCACGTTACTGGTCAGCGGATACCTTGTTTTGACAGGTGTCAAGTGATCATAACATAGATGTCCAATATCAAAGAAGTACATGGTAAACCAAGGCTGCATGTCTCTGTCAACCTATTATTTGGAATGTGGTTGCCATGTTGCGTGACTCCGTCGTCGCCGTTGTCATCGCCGTTGTGTGTACGTGCCCACCAGCAATACCGCTAGCCATGATAACCATGAGAAAATCAACTCATGGGTTTCCTTTTGTTTCCTATTTGAGTATGGGGCTCCACTTGGCGGCCCTTTGGGCTGCCGGAGCTCCGCTGTTAACAAGTAGACAAAGACAAAAGCCGGGGTTGAGGCTGAGATTAAGCTCAATTTTAAGAACGTACTAAAAACTCGTAGCAAGACTAAGAGTCAATTAAGAACATCTTTATCTTTCTCATTTGTTATTTTTTAAAATGGGTCGTATCAATAAAGACAAAGTGAATGTGAAACTGTAGTCTAACAGTAAAACTGACCGAAATACTACTGAGCTTCAAAACTAGACGTCCTTATAAAAAGAAACAATGTAGTGACTAACAAAACAAGGTAAGCAAGTTTTTAAGGTTGACTAAGTCACATACCGGTATTCTCTTGAGGTCCGAGGTTTGTACAAAATACTCCTACGTGAACACATGCTTCCTGTATTTTCCTGGCTTATTCATGTTGAGGCATCCACCTGTGCCAAGACGTTTCGGGTCCTTTCCAATGATTAAG